GTAGTGAGGTTGGCCCAGGATTGGACATTGTTTCGTTCTGCTGTGCATAGCATCGCTATGAGTCGGTGCCAACTCGATGTCACCTAACAACAACAATAATCAAGGTTGTATTTTGGCTCTCATGATTTTTTTTAAATTTCTTCAGTTTCAATGTGAAACTGCCTACAAGTAATCGGTGGTCTGTTTCATAGTCCACACCTGGCTTCTCTCTCCACTGTCTCTTCCCACAGATGTGGTGAGTTTGATTCCTGTGTATCCCATCTGGTGAGGTGGAGGTGTATAGTTGCTTTTTATGTTGTTTTAAAAAGGTATTGGCAATGAAGAAGTTGTTGGTTTTGCAAAATTCTATCATGCACGTGATCTTCAGCATCTTTTTTTATCACCAAAACCGTATTTCCCAACTACCAATCCTTCCTGTTTGTTTTCACTTTTCCATTCTACTCATCAGTAATTTTCAATATATCACGACTGCATGTTTAATAACTTTTAGAAGTTGGAAGAATTCTTCAGTTTCTTCATCATTTGCTTTAATGGTTGGCGCATAAATTTGAAAGCTAGTTATATTAGGTGGTCTTCTTTGTAGGTACATGAATAGTATCCTATCATACACAGCATTGTACTTCAAAATAGATCTCGAAATGTTTTTGTTTTTTCTTACGCTGAATGCAACACCATTCCTCTTCAATTTGTCATTCCTGGCACAGCAAACCATAAGATTATGTTTTTAAATGACCCGATATCACAATAAACAAGAAGAGGAAGGTTGGCAGAAGAATGTTCAAGGCAGGTGAAGACACAGGGAGGTATACAAGGGCTACTACAGTAGACAGAAGTTGTTGTTGTTGTTGTTAAGTACCATGGAGTTGGTTCTAACTCATAGTGACCCTGCACAGGGTTTCCAAGGCTGTAAATCTTTATGGGAGCAGAACACCTCATCTTTCTCTCACGGAACCGCTGGTAGTTTCGAACTGCCGACCTTGAGGTTAGCAGCCCGAATTGTAACCACTATGCTACCAGATAGAAGTAAATAATGTTATATTCCACATCCTTGGAATAACAGTGCTCTGCAGTTAGATACACAGGCAGAGACACAGGCTCGATGGGTAAGGAAGGAAGAGTGGGAGTAGACCCACAAATACACGAATTTGAAAGAGGATATGGATACCTGGGGATTTACCTTTCCTGCAAACACAACTAAGACTATGGTGGAGCATACAGCAGGCAAAATGAGGAAAACATCTTAGATGTTATCGTCCACCTTAAGCCAATGAGTTGCTGAGCCTTGGGGTTCAGGACTATAGTCTCAGAGAACACCATACTCAACTGGCATAACACAGTCTACAAAGACAATGTTCTACATCCTACTTTGGTGAGTAGCATCTAGGATCTTAAAAGCTCATGAGCAGCCGTCTAAGGTGCAGCTATTGGTCTTTCCATGTGGGGAAGAAAGCAGAGTGATGAGAACTGAAGATGCTTGGAATCTGTTAGTCCACAGGACAAGTGGAACATGTGAACATCAGTCTCCATGACCCTGAGACCTGAAGAAGTAGGTGGTGCCCGGCTACTACTATCTACAGCTCTGAAAGGGATCACATTAGAAGGGTCCAGATAGAGTAGGAGAAAATGTGGATCAATATTCAATAAAAAAAGAACAGGCTAACTGGTCAGTAAGAGACTGGAAGGGTGGCCCTCAACCACCCTTCAGGTCTGGAAAGGAATTCACCCTTGTGGCCCAATTTTCAGCCAAGGAATAGATAGGTATATAGGGAACAACTACACTAGTAAGGTCTGCTCACCATGGAATGGTCAATCAGTGAAAATCAAAAGGGCAACATTTACCTAAGGACAAAGTTGAGAAGGGAAGGTGGGTGGAATGGAAATCGGACCCACAGGGAGGAAGCGGGATCACTGTTGTTCCATGGAGGGGACTGCAATCATTGAGATGAAACAAAGGGTGTGATTTGTTGAATGCAAAATGGATAATCTTGTTTATAAACCTTTGCTCAGTTCACAATAAAAAGTTTAAGAAGAAACAAAAAAGGCCAATATTAGTCCATTTCAGATCACTACTGCCTAGGACATTAATCTTGATGCTTTCCATTTCATTTTTGACGACTTCTAATTTTCCTAGATTCATACATCGTACACTCCACAATGTGATTACTACTGGATGTTTTACAGCTGTTCCTTCTCATTTGGAGTAGTGTACCATCAGCAAATGAAGGTCCCAAGAGCTTTGCCCCATCCACATCAGTAAAGTTGCCTCTACTTTGAGGAGGCAGCTCTTCCCCAGTAGTGTTGAGTACCTTCTGACCTGGGGGCTCATCTTCTGGCATTTTCATCAGACAATGTTCCTCTGCAATTCCTAAGGTTGTCAGGAGATGATATTTCAAAAGTGGACCACCTCTTCCTTTTTCCTAGTCTGTCTTAGTCTGGAAGCATCTCTAAAACCTGTAGACCATGGGTGACCCTGCTGATATACTGGTAACATAACTTCTGCATCACAGGGACACACAAGGCACAAAATGAAACACGAGTGGAGCATATGAGGGGATTGAAAATGCATAGCTTCGGTCAAGCACATCTTAGGCCTCACAGGGATCTCTGCATTTTCACAGTTTGAAGAGGTCTTTTGCAATACGTCATTTGATTTAACTGTGGCTTACGTGGTCTTTGATATTACATAAACAATGCAGATTATGCACCGCATTCTTCTCCACCTTGCTTTTCTTACTAAAGTTATCTTATTTATCTTTCCATAACAACACATACACAGCTGCTTTGTTCCTTATAATAGTGGCATATGTGTTGCTAGAATGCCCTCCAAAGAACTGTATTGATTTATCCTCCCATCAGCTTTCAGAAATCTGTTTTCCCCGCCCCCAAGGTACCCGTGCTAATAGCGATGCTAACATTACTGAATGCCTCAAGAGTCAGACGTATTCTGAGGGTCTTACATGTCTGAATTCATTTACTATTTACAACAACTCTTATGATTGTTGTTGTGATGTGCCGTGGAGTCAGTTCTGACTCACAGCGACCCTGTACAGTGTTTCCGAGGCTGTAAATCTTTTATGGCAGCAGAAAAGCTTCATCTTTCTCCAGCGGAACAGCTGGTAGTTTCAAACTGCTGACCTTGTGGCTCGCAGCCCGATTCATAACCATTATGCCGCCAGAGCTCCTCGTTTAAGAGCACAAAGAATCTGGGCACTGAGGGGTTAAGGTCACCTGGCTAGTTGAGTGGGGGCTGGGAGTCAAACTAGAACACCTGTTTTCTTAATCACTCTACTTTATGACTTTTCACTCATCTGTTTTTTATCTTTGCCATTTTGATACATTAACACAAAAAACACCAGAATCTATCTCACTGCTGTCATAATTGACATTTTCTTATGTTTAAAAGTCATACTATTCCTTATATATGATCAAACCCTTTTCCCAGTTCTCTATGGATTGCAGCTATTTTAAATAACTTTGGGAGTTATATTTTACAAGGGCAGAGAAAGATGAGGTTGTTTGCTCCTGTATTTACATCTCGGAAATTCTACGGAGCAATTCCACTCTGTCTTGTAGGGTTGCTATGAGTTGGAACTGCCTTGATGGCAGTGGGTTATCGAGTTGTTACAGGGGACTTGAGTTACATTTGTTTATGAACTTATTGAAGGCTCCCTCATATATATTAAGAAAACGAGTCTATCTCTGTTGCAAATATTTTTTCTTAATTCGCTATTATCTTTGGGTTTTAAAAGCAACATGTTAAAATCTCTTGCAAACTTTGGAAACAATATTTAAGACCACCTTACTGTTAACTTTTCAATATAGTTTATGGCTTCGGTTCATTCTAAAACAGGGTTAATGGAGGAAGGAGTTCTGATGGTGTAGTGGGTTACTCACTGGACTGCTAACCACAAGGTCAGCAGTTCGAATCCACCAGCCACACCAAGGGAGAACTATGAGACTTTCTGAAAGATTTACAGCCTCAGAAACCCTATCCAAGGTTGCTGAATTGGAACCCACTAGACACTATGAGTCGGAACCAACTTGAGGGTACTTAACCAACAATACTTTCTTTAATAAAACAGATACAAAATAAAACAAAATTACACATAGTGAAGGGAGGGGGTGAGGGAGACTCATTTTCTAGTTTGGGTATTGTTTGTTATTATTATTTACCATCTCCTGGTGTGGCACTGTAGGATAAGCACTCTACCACAAGGTCGGTTTGAAATGGGTCTAAAAAAATGAATTTCTTGTACATTTTATCTTCTCAAAATTTCTCTCCCCATAATTTCTTCCTTTTATGTTGTAAATTCCAAAAATTTTTAAATTGGACTTTTTCAGCTTTGATATCTAAGAGTCTTAATAGCACTGTTTTATTTCTTTACTTTTAAACCTGCTTTCCAATTTTTATTTAAGTTATGTTTCTCAATTTATATTATACATATAAAGCACTATAAACTTTACTCTAGGAGTCCTGGTGAGATGCCATAGGAAAAGCACAAGGTCAGTTTGAACCACAAGGTTGGTGGTTCAAACTCACCAGTTGCTCCTTGGAAACCCTATAAGGGTCACTGTGAGTTGGAACCAACTCCACGGCACTTAACAACAACAACAAACTTTACTCTATGAAATATTGGTACTGAATTCAGATAAGCAGATGGGATTTTTGTCACTCATTTCATAATGAACCTCTAGCATTACCTAGAGTAAATTATTTTAATTTCCTATTATCTGTCCACAAATGAAGCCTAACCACATCTGTTCTCTTATACTTTACAGCTACCCTGGGCTCTCAGTTACAATGTCTACCTGCTACATTTTCTTTAGTCATGCATAAGCATTTTCATAAATGTGTAAACATTTTCATGAATGTGCAAACATTTTTTATCATCGGGGATACCAGTTTCTGCACACACAAGTCATCAGGGGGCTATTTTAAACCCTCAACATTATAAAAGTATAAGAATACAATATAAATGTATTTGGGAGTTAACATTTACCTGTATCATGATGGCATCTGATTGTTCTTCCTCCCAAGTTATGTATGGCAAAAAGTCCACATCTTCTTTGGCAATAAGTTCCAAAATAGTTGGGATATTAGGTAAAGGGGACTCATTCTCATCCTGTAATGAATCACCACTGGGTTAAATCAAAACAGACATCATCAAATGAAACTATCATTGTACATTTCAAAGTCTGTGAATGTTTTATATGGAATAGGACCGTTGTAACAAGTCAGTAGAGTGATGCTCCCACTTTAGCTCTTACTGGGAACCGGGCAGTGTGCTGAGGGCTTTACATGGATCTTCCTCTAAAACTGAAGAAGAATTGGCTTCTCATAGGGTAAGAGAATTCTAAACCTTTTGCATTTTTTAAGGATCTTGGATTAATAAAAGAGAAATATCGAAGTGTTACAAAGTTCTAGCATATCTTTAAAATACACATATAACTAATTAATAATTATAACATTAAAAGTGATAACATGTATAACTCATTTAGAGAGATCATCAAAAACCCTAATGCTAATGAGGTCTTTCATGAGTGTGAAGGTACCCCGATTCAATGATTATCCTGGTCTCTCCTCGTTCCTCATCCATGGAGCGGGCGTTGCTATTGGTCATTGTACTGATGAGAACATTGAGGTGAACTAGCTTGTACATACCAAATTCAAGTCCTGTTCTATCTGACTTCAAGGTCTTTGATCTTACATTAAGAACTACTTATGAAAAAGTGAAAAATCCTTTTGTTTGGAACTTATTCTTTCTTGTGAACTGCAGATCAGTGAAGAGTGAAGTTATACAACAAAGCAATGATTTTTGAGATGTCTGCAGAGTAAAGATGCTGCTTCACATTGGGATTCACTGTGAAGTTGTCGTTACTAAGGTGGAAGAGGAGCAGTCCATCTCTTTGGACTGGCCTTGCAAGCTTGTGTGGAGATAGGAATGCCTTTTGGTGCAAACACCGAGGGCTTCCTTTGGGAGTGGTCCAATTACTCATCCAGGAATTCTGTAAGGTGGTGGAAATTCAGATGACTTCAATTACCAGTAAAGAGTCAAATATGTGAAGAAGCCAAGTGGAGTATGCAGCTCTACAGTTCTTGTGAATTTGGAATGTGCACTGCTACCCAACTCTGCCATGAGACAATGGGGATGTAGTATAGCAAGTTCACTGGATTTTTCAAGAAAATTCCGAAATCTAGATCAGTGGAAACCATTGCCCATAAGCTTAAACAACAAACTGAAACAATTTTTAAAACTGTAAGAACAAATAAAATATATCTGTGGGTTGAGTATGGTGAGGGCCACCAAACAACTGGACTTATGCCTTAGGACTTTGGGTCTTAATATGAACCCTTGGGGAAAGTCTTGGGGACACAATAATGAGGGTCATTGTGTGTCCAGGGCAGCTTGACTGGCTCTGCAGGAGTCACATGTTGCACCAGGTATGATAAGCTCTCAACCACCAGGTCAGTTTGAACTGCAAGGTTGGCAGATCAAGCTCACTGGCGTCTCCTTGGAAACCCTACACAGGGTCGCTATGAGTCGGAACCGACTCAAAGGCTCTTTACAATAACAACAACAATATAGAATGCAATCCCTGCTCAGGAAGCAGGGTACCACTGCTGGGAACTGCAGGTTCTAGGGTCAGCAGTGCCGGTCCTTGTCAGAGTTTATAACAATCCAGCCCCATTGAATTAAACACACTGAGATCAGGGGGAAGCAGAGTTCTAGGAATTTTAAGTGTGGAGTCAGGGAGAATGATGAATATCTACTGTACAGAATTACACTGGAGCTGGGACAGTACCTTGGAAAGAACTGCCTTTAGGGACTGAAATGCCTGTTACATATAAAACTGTTTGTCCACAGCTTTATAATGCTCGACAAGGCTGACGCTGGTTTCTCCACAAACAAAAGATCTAGGTAGGGCTACTGAACGTGTTTCAGGTTTCACACTGGTTCCAAAAGAGAAGGGAAGCAGCATTTCTACCATTCAGACGTCTCAGAAATCATTGCCTTGTTGTATAACTTCATGGAGTCCTAGTGTGGTATTGTGGGATAAGGCACTGGACCCCAAGATCAGTTTGAACCACAAGGTCCATGGTTCAAACTCACCAGCCGCTCCTTGGAAACCCTATACAGGGTCACTATGAGTCAGAAGCGACTTGATGGCACTAACAACAACAAAAATTGATATGAGCATGACAAAAATACATCTATGAGATAAAAGTGGGGTTCTCTAATAATTATGCTTTGTATAAAAAAAAATCAGTTCTTCTAAATCATGTCATTTTACATGTTATTCTTCAATTACACCAATATTGAGGAAGTTTTACTCTAATCCAAGCTTTGTTTCTTTGCTATTTAAAGCTTAATTAGACTGAGACCCAATTCTCTTTAACACGAAGCCCAGTGCACTCCCCAATACTACATCACATAAACATGAAGAAGCCTGTGTTTGGGATTTCTTCCCGAGAAGAGCAGACTAGCGGTCAAAGAGATAGCAGTTTTCTTTGTACATGAAGGTAAAAAATTTGACCATGAATTCACAACAATACATACCCTTTTCTCAACGGCCACAAAGCTTGTAAACTGCGTGAGGAGAGAATTTTCTTTACTGATTTTGATAATCAGAGATTTCAAGGTCTGTTTCTTCATCTAAGAGAGAAACAAAGAAATTAAATCCTGTCTGGCTTCATCCTGGTGTGGCGCTGTGAGTTAATGCAGCAGACTGCAAAGCCCTTTGAACTACAAGGTTGGTGGTTCAAACTCACCAGTTGCTCCTTGGAAACCCTATACAGAGTCGTTATGGGTCGGAACCAACTCGATGGTACTTAACAACAACAACAACATCTACATATGAACAATTAAAAGAGTCATAAATAATCTAAAAGACTGTTTCTCAATGACAAACAAATCATTTTGTAAGTAATATGTCAACCTAATAGTGATCTTGTCTGAAGATCAAATAGAACTTCAATGCTGTTGTTAGTTGTCACCGAGTTGGTTTCATCATGACAAACAACAAAAGGAAACATAGCCTGGTCCAGCACTATCCTCACAACTGAAATTTAGCATCTAAACCAAAGACTGAAGGATGTCAATATTCCCTACAAAATAGGATCAGCTGACTAGCCAAGTCATAGAAAAAAAATAATTCATATTAATGTAGTTCTTTATAGTTTCTCATTCTTTTACAGACCACCCGGGAAGGAGATGTTCTGGTTCCCAGTGTAAGACAAAGAGTCAAAGCTTTGAGGGGTTGGGTGACTCCTTCAGTCTTAGTCAAGGACAGGGCTGGCCAGGAGTCAGGCCTCCTAGCTCTGAATGCGGTGCTGTATCTGTCAGAGGAAAAGAACACAGGACCTTCAGAAAACGCACCACAAAGCTGTGAATCAGAGGGCAATACGGGAGTGAATCCTGGGAAAGCCAGAGGCAGTTCCTCACTAGTTGGGACTATCTGCAGGGCATCTAGGCATCTTCATTTAGGGTTGTCACTGAGCACTAATGCTCCAGCCACATCTGAGATCCCAGTCTGTGAGAGATACCAGGAGGTCAGAGTAGGTAGGTAAAGTGGACCCATGACTGAGGGCCATCAGCACAGAGAGGAGGGGCTAGGTGGGCTTGGCTCTGCTGCGTGTCCTGAGGCAGACTGCCAATCCCTTGTGCACCTGAGTTTATTAGTAAAAGAGAAGTACTAACACCTATGGCATGAGTTTGCTGTAAGAACGAAATGAAATCATGTCCATTACAGACATTTAGTACATGTTCTCCTTCCTTGACTGGCTGAATTCTCAGAAAACCACTGGCATTTTTTCCCTACATGCATCATAACAAGCGTACTGATGACACCTCCAACATCCACATTCATCTTTCCCATTCAGCGTCTGGACTTGACATTCGGGAAGAATGGCCAAGAGCAATGCATCCCGGTTTCTACGACAGCGAGAACAGACCTGGTGATGTGTTTCGTCTTCATGGAGAACGCCATATTCAAAGTCTCGAATGAGCGCCCGGGCTGTCAGTCTGTGAATCATCTACGTTTAAGAGAAAAAGGGAAAAAGGTTTCAGTGGCTTCTAATTGAAGACTTACATAGAACATCATGTTTTTAAGTGGAGGTATCATTTATATACATTAAATGCATCCTTTTAAAGGAAAGTTTGATGATCTTTAGCAAATGTATACAGGGGCACAACTGTAACTGAAATAAAGATACAGAACTTACTAGAATTCTTCACACGAAAACATTACCTGCGCCCCTCTAACCAGCCCCAGTTCCTGGCAACGACCACTGGTCTGTTTTCTATCCTGCTTCACCTTTTCTATAAAAGGCCGTTGTTGTTGTTAACCATAGTCGAGTCAGTCCCGACTCATAGCAACCCTGTATAGGGTTTCCAAGGAGCAGTTGCTGATCTGAACCGTCGACCTTGTGTTTAGTAGTCCAGTGCTTGTTGGACAGTACCACACCAGAATTCCATAAAAGGCCATTATGCAAATTCAATTTATTTCAAACTGTTCTTTCTTGTAGAAGAGGTGCATTTAGCCCCTGAAATGCCCAACATGAACATATCCAAAATCAACATGCTCTGAAGAACAAGAGTAGCGAAAATTGCATCAAGAAGGTATTCCTCCTTTTTCTCTCAAATGACTAAGAAATGCAACTGTTCTTGAAGGGAAGGATCTGCTTTCAATCATTCCAAGTGTTGCAATTTTATTATTGGTAAAAATCACAATTCATTGAGGAAGTATGAATATTAAAACTGTTGTTTAATAGAAAAAGACCTCTTCCCCACTTAGATTCTATTGTTAAAACTAAACATAGCTTTGTGTTCTTAAGTTCCTTTAAGTTATACACATAAATCACTAGCAAGTAGTAAGTCAACACTCATCCAGTGCCTAAAAGTAAGACACATATCACTTTTAAAAACATCAGCAACATCTGGGAAATGGTTTATCTGGTCTTAAATACAGCTACATATAGAGATAATCTTAAGAGGAGTCCTGGTGTGGCACTGTAAGATAAGCACTTGACTGTAAGGCCAGTTTGAACTGCAAGATCAGTGATTCAAGTTCACCAGCTCCTCAGAACCCTCTACAGGGTCACTGAGTCCGAACCAAGTCCATAGCACTTAACAACAACAATAGATTCAGAATTTCCAAAGTCAAACTAGAGTGGATTCAGTATGAATGCACATACTGCATACTTTACTGATAATTCATTTGCTTTTAATCCAAAACAAACAAAAAAACATTCTCAATGTATGATATGGTTTACTCATATTCTAGTACTGTTATAATAAATATTAAAAATAATAAGTAGATGGACCAGTATCATGTAACTTTTATTGATTCATGGTCATCTTTGGGATCCCCTGGAGAGCTGTTCATGCAACAAATATTGTAGTTCACTTTGGTCATTCACTGAAGCCCATCTGCAAGCACAGAACCTCATATGAAGACCCTCAACTGGAGGAAAGTGTCCTCATTTCGTACAAACAGCAACCTTTTCGATTATGTATTGTCATTTCAGCACAGGAAAACAACAAAAGAAATAAGGAGATGCAGCATTACATATTAAAATATAAAATCATAACTCTGTAATACTGGGTCCATATTTAAAGCTTTAGATCTTACCGTTCCAGTTGTCTTCTGAAGCTCTGTAGTCGACACCATTGTGCAGAACTCTTTCTCTTGAATTAATGCACAGAGAGTTGCCTAAATTGGGAAAAAAACAGAATTCCTGATTACCTTTCTACTACACAGTGTCTTGGTTAGTCTAAGGTGATTTCCTCTTCCCTTTGAAATGAAATGGAGAGACTCTTCAGCACTCCTAGTTAACCACCAGCTATTATCTCAGAAAAAAAAAACCAAAAAAAACATGACAACTATATTATGATTTGGTGGGTGGGGTGTGGGGAGGGAAGAGAAAAAAGAAAATAAGGAAAAGACCATTCTTAGAAAAATATATAGCTCTCCCCATACTGAAACAAATTGTGTAAGCTTCATACCTGTGTGCAATGTGAAATAAATCCATAGACGAGGAGACAGTCATTGTGGAACAGAGACTGCACCTGAGCTGGAGCCTGCACGGGCTCAGAGGAATTCATGCTTAGCTGCTGCCATTTCACAGAGACAGAGTGGCAACCTGGAGAGCGTAGTCTAGCCACTTGGTCTTCTATCTATTTTCAAAAAAGCAATGATTCCCTTTTCAATCTTATATCCAGGAAACACAGTTTTCAGGGGGCTAGTCAACCCTTAAAATAAATCCTACATCCAATACCTTGGAATTGTTGGTCTTTGAGTATTTGTTTTGTTTTGTTTTTTCCTTCCTGCTTCAGGATCCTTTTCATTTTTTTCTTAAGCAACTACATATATATATATATATAT